AACCTTCCGATGCAAAAAGCGATGTCATAGTAACACTCACCACAGAACGGGATGCCCTCGGGCGTCCACACACCGTCACGTCCACAAACTCGGCGCGCCGGTCCAAGCAGCTCGAAGCCTCGTTCACAAGAGTACGTGGCCACAGTCTCAGGCCCCAGCGAGTCATCCGAGAAGAACACTGAGGAATGAGCAGGAGCACCCGGGAATCGGCATCCCTTGCTACCAGCCGCACAGCCTGCTGGGAAAAATACACGCGTTACATCTCTGAACACAAAACGATACGCAACCGTTTAGAACAAAACGAAGTCCCTGAGCCCCATTTTATAGAACCCGGAACCCACTCAATTCCGAGGGCCTATTAACATTTCATAAAATGCTAGATTTTGTGGTAAAGCGTTGTCCCCCCCAGCCAACAAGATGGAGAACAGTTCTGTGTCAGCTGCCCGCGTCTGTTTATTTAACACAGACCTACAATATTTGGAACTTCTTTCCATGCGGTGGAAGTTATTTCTTCCAACGTCCAACAACTTTTGTACATTATCGTTAACTATGCCAACGAATTTCGATTCTAAGAGGATCTTCATCAGTGTTGCAACATGCCCTATTCTATCTGTTGGTTTAAGGTGACCAGTGGTCATCAACTGGTGGTCCCCAAACTTGTACCAAGTACGTCACGAGGCTTTGAAATAAAAATAAAATAAAATCACATTATTATCCATAGTTGGTTATGCTTTACTAATTACTTAAAACTTCATCATCTTTCTGCTTTACAATTTTTTTATTTTTATACAATAAATGGCGTTACGTAAAAATGGTGTACTCGTACGCTCATAAATGTAGTTTTCTGTCCTAATTAAAGTATGCCGCGACCACCAAAAGTTGAGAACCACTAAATTAGACATTGTTTTATATAACCATTTAAAATTATAAGTTAAAATCGCCGAAATCATTAAAACATATCAATGTTCATAAAGGTACCTTACTTCAGATTCTCTGTGCTATTAACTTCTTGATATATGTACATTATAATTCATAATAGTTCATATATGCAGGCATGCGTATAATACTCGTCACTAAGTGCTTAGTTCCGATGGATTTCCACGATCCATGTTTATTCCTTACAGTTCAGCCACTGGGTGCACTCGTTGTATGATGACGTGTCCTGTTACCACTACCCTATCTGCTGGAATTGTATCCCCTCCTGACCTTCTACTGAACTGGGGCTACAACCCTAGTTTTTGTATTTCTGTGTGACTGTTCATACCTTACCCCATTGGTTTATAGATGAATTAGCCTCACTGCTACCAACATTCCTGTTTAACCATCATTCGTCAGTAAAACTCAAACGAAACATTGACCTCCGTGTTACGTTGTCCATTAATCGATATTTTTTCCCCGACATTATAGAATTAACATTTTTCTTTCACATCCATTTTGACGTCTTTAGTTTCAACTTTTAATACTCATAATTAGTTGGACCGGAAAACGCTGATTATTTAAAATATGTTATGCACACCTCGATTTGTCATAATTATACCATATATCTGTAATACGATCCTTAAAAATTCCTACCAGTCTGTCTTATGTAATTATGACAAATATTGAAGGACAATATGAAACTAGATGTCAGTGTAAGGCGTAGGCTGGATTAGATTGGCTAAAGGTAAGGTTCAATGGGGCATGCTCTTGGTGCACACACTGGACATTCGGTTCTATAAAAGCAGGTTAGTCTTTGAGAAAGTGCATAAATATGAACTTCTGAATCAATACCATATTGATAAGAAAGGCGCGGCTAATCCGGGGGCGAGGGGATTGAGGAAGATCATAACCGCCTCACTTCTACCGATTCCAAGTTTAAGCTTAAGATAAACTTCCCGTTTCTGTTCTTTACAAGTTCACACAAATGTTAACTTTAGTAGGATTTCAGGTTTTTCCGGCGATGAGTCTGAAGATGACTGTATTCTGGAGTGTTGCTATCGCCCTGATGATGGAGGCAGCAGTGACCTCTGGAAACGTTGGTAACCTTCTACCAGACTACACGGCGTTACAACCCAGACGATAGCCAACTTCGTGTTAATTTTAATTAATCACATTTACACTTTAAGTAGGTATTTGACAAGCATTTGGAACTTAAAAATGGGACATCTGGGACCGTGGATGGTATGCAATTTCAGAACTGAGTCGGTCCGCAAATTTGGCTTGCGTGATGAAGATAGAGAAAGGAGAATTTATGCTTCTGAAGAGAGAGTGAACAGCGAAATAAAAGCAAGTACCCCCAGCGCTGGATGGCCTCATGGCATCCCGTTAAAGTCACCGCTTACAAGGAGTTACAAAAAACACAGAGCCCGAAAGACGCTTGTAACTATGAGCACATTAAAACAAATTAATTTCTTCACACTGCCATCTGTGGTATTCAGTTAACAGGATAACGGGCCTTCCTTCCATCGATTTCACTGTTATCTGCTGCCAGTGGTAAGAAATTTGTCTAAAAGTCAGCTCTTTCTTCCACGCCGCACTCGTTTCTTGCAGGCATTTATGCATCCACATTCCTTCTCTGTAGGTATAACGTAAGAGAATTACGTAATAAATTTAATTTTGATAGCGGGCCTTTTCAACACGCGATAGAAATGTTTTCATGGGGGATTAGCCTACCGCAAGATCTCTACCACAACACAACATAGCACAACAAAGGGAAATGCAGAAACGTAAATATGGCCCTAGTGGAAATCGACACACAGTTCCAAAAACTGTGAATCCCTCTCAACCACAGGATCATTACAGCTTATTAAATACACAACAAAAAAGAATTTACTGGAAAAAAGTAATCGACACTTTCCATTCCTGAACATTTCCCATCCCCTGTATATTGTTTCAATATGGCGAATGTAACCCCAATGTGTGTACTAACTCCATGACTTACAGTCTTTTTTGAGAAGCTAATATTCGTGAAGTCGGGCAAGAGATTGCTTGCTTGCCTTTTATCGAACCCGAAATGTCATTAAGGTACTGACTACAAACCCCGGCTCCCTATCCTGGGCCAGATTATTCCAATCTTCACATCCCATTTCCATAAAATTCGTCTTAATATTATCATTCATTATATCTCCCAAGTGATCTCGTCCCTTCAGGTTATCAGACGAAGGCTGTGTATAGGCCTGTGCATTTGTTTTCTCCCTTACGCTCCGCCTACATTGTCCCCTTGATTTCATCATCCTAACAATACCTAATGATCAATACAAATTGTGGAACACCTCAATATGCAACTTTCTCTAGACTCTCATTACTCCCCCTCCCCACTCTCTTACGACCGAATATTCTGCTGAGAATCCTCTTCTCAGACATTCTCAATGCTGATCCCTTTCTCTGAGAGACCCTTGTACCTAGTACGGGAGCCAAATATGGAAGAAGCGTACAGTTACTGGCTGCCAGGTGACGGATAACCTTCCGTTCGTTTTCTGTACAGGTGCCAGCGCATTCAACTCCAGGTGATATCACCAGTCTTGCAGTTTGTATAAACTAGCAGCTCAGTGTGGGAAAATGGAGTGTACTTTTGGACTATTTGGTGGAAGAACCCGATGGCTCACCACCTCACATAAATGTCACCCCTGGGTATCACCCTGAGAAAATTCAATCCATCCCATTCCACCTCAACCTAATTCCTTAAAATTAATTTTAATGTTATCCTCTCGTCTTCATTTTATCTTCCATGCAGCCTCTTTCCAGCTAACCACCTTCACGGAGCAGTGTCCTTCAGCTGATAATCTCTCCTCCTACGTAAATCTTCTTTCTGACAAGAGCCGTATTTTGAATCCTATGCTCGGCCTCTTCGAATGAGTCTACACCCTCATGCCTCACACCAGGTCCACGGCAATTTGAAGTCAGGAGTCGACTGAGGAGGCCATGGGCCATGGGCCACTCGCCTATTGCCGGCTGTGGTAGTCAGAGCAGAGGAACTGCTCGCGTCACCAACACAACCCCAAGGGACAGAGTTATTTCAAAGGCTAATATTTACCCAGTGGCTCAAGAAATTGCCCGCCTAATTGTGCCGAAACGTTCACCATCGTTTTCACAAGAACCTGACCAGTTTCTCTACGGCACCAAAATGTTATAAACATGAAATAAAATCCACCAGCCTGTGTGATTATTTGCATTACTAAGCATACATACGTGTATAATGGGCTTTGTGCGTTATTTGCATAAATTTAATTCATAAATGAGAGACACTGTTTGTCCGTCCACTCCATTTCCCAAACCAGTAAATTAATCGAGGAATCGAGATTAAACAAACTTCTGTTGGGTTGTACAGCCGTGTAGTATGGTAGATGTTTACCAGCGTTTCAGACATGTTTGGTGCCTCCATCATCATGGCGCATAGTCACCCACCTCCTCTCATAATATTTTTCAATAGAATTCAACACTGTCTACAGAATATATATTGTTCGGGGAGAAATAAACGGTTTATATTTTAGGCTGTGTTACGAAATGGTGCAGGTCTTGTATAGGGTGCCCTTCTGTGAACACGGTGAGGAACCACCGGTTTTCATAAAAAATGGGGAATTGTATTAGATGAGCAAATATCAGGTTCTCAAGTACTCTGATTCATGGAGTCAGTTACATAGTATCAGAGTACGGAAGCTTTTGGCATTCCTCTAATGAAATACGCTGCCAGTATCCAGCCCGTTATGGCCCCTTCAAGCAGCACATTGTTATGTGAGGAAAGAATATGACGGTGCAGGACCGTATTTGGTAATCTGGAGACACGGATTGTTAGCGGTGAGCGAGAGGTCAGTGACTGTCCCGAAAGACTTATATAATTGGTAATGCTGCTGGCCTATGGAATGTTGAAACCAAAGGCCGCCTGCAAGGACTGAATGGACAGCAACGGAAGTACCACTTTCTCAACTCCAGAGAGAGCCTAAAAACTTATTATTATTATTTATGAGCGGCAAGAAGGCAATATATACCAGAATACAGGACTCAACATTCCAGAATACAGCAATGTCCACAGTCGTTGCTGTGAGAAAATTACTTCTCAGTCAAGTGATGAGATCACTTAAAACTAAGAAGTATATGAGAGCATACAACAATTAAAATGTGTTTTAAACGAATAAGATGTGCGAATCGCAACAACAGAATTTAAACACGACATTGAAAAATTAACAAAGTAAGAACAGCTTTAAGTATCTCAGTAATGATGAATCTTTTAAAAAAAATCACTGCAATAGCAGACCTAATTTATTGGTATTCGAATATACTGCCATAGCGGTTCAATAATTTGCAGTCATTTATGTAATCTTGCAACTTACGAGTTGATTTGAAGGGATGAACGTGGCACCAGGTCGGGAAAAGGTTGAGACCCCTGTTCTAAACGTTGTTTCAGAATTTGTTTTGAATTTAAATAGGTGAGAGGGGCGAAAAGACTGCACTTAATAAGAATATAGATTCCTACTGGGAATAACTTTCAGGCGCACTGGAATAAAACACAGAGTACAAAGTACAAACGCACCTAATGACACATAAAATTGTCAGCTACACTAGCGATGTGTATGCAAGGGCATACGATCTCTGAAACTACTTAAAAACAAGAAGACATTCCAGCAGATGAACAAATCTGACTTCTGAACTTCAAGGACTCAATTCTTGTGGAAGAGGATGGGGAAGAAGGAGAACGCTGGATGAACGTAAGGACGGAAATACAGGTACAGGTAGATCGATTAGGAAAGTTCAGCTTACTTAATCGCTTCACATTTGGATTGTCCTGTTTACGTTTGGCAGAGGCATACCACAGAGTTCATGTTAGTCTTCACCTTTGTATGCCATTGTGAAGGTTCAGTCCGCCTGAAAACTAGGCCTCGCGCTGTGCGCTGACCTAGAGCCAGCCGTTTTGCACGTTCCGCTACAAACTGCAACGTCGTTATGCAATTTCATACTTCGTCTTTGTTTACAGACAAACTGACATGTTCTCGTCACACAGACTCTAAGTTCTCATACTCAAAGGTAATCGCAGTGCTTCGTCAGTTAGCCTTCAATAGCCTATGAGGTATGGAATTTAGAAATATTGTATAGTTTAAACGTGAGACAGGAATCACATTTACACGGAGAATAATCCTTTCTGAAAAGCTAATAATCGATCACCCATTAAAGAAATTCGCCACCTTTTATGGAACCCGAAAGTTCACTACGATAACCCGCCCATGGTCCCGGTGAGTCAGTTGAATCCACTCCACACCTTCGCATCATACTTCCTTAAAATCAGCTTTAATATTATCCCCTGATCCGAATCCAAGAGACAGAACTCACAGCTTATCAAACGTCTGACTTCCCTGTTTGGGGCGGAAGTGTTAGTCTCTTTAAGAATGTGCTGCCTCCATCATCAGAGATCCCTGAAACGTCGGTAAACTTCTACCAGAATACAAGGCGCTGCAACCCAGAAGACAGTCTTCCTGGGACAATTTAACATGCCTCTCCGTAAAGGTGATATTAGTTTGAACGGGGCTTTGCAGTAAACCACAGACCGGACTGTCACCTGTTGCAGAGCAACTTGAACAGGGAAACGGCGAGAGACGAATCCATGAGGCAATGCAACGAATAAGATGTTTATTCGTCAGTAATTAAAGGTGGACAAATCGTCTCGTGTTAATTAAGACGTCAAATGATAACGACCAATATTCTTAGGAGCCTGCAGTTATTATTCTCTTATTAACATGTTTGCCTTACACAGTTTTAGCCATAGTTTCGTTCCTGAAATAAATCGATAAATCGAAGACGTTTTCAGATTCAATGTTATTAGTAAGGGGGGTAGTTTCTGGATAAATGTTTTACAATTCCATGGGTTCAAATTATGCTCGGATCATGGATGTACGCTCACATTTTTATACTGCATTATCCTGTGTAAAGACCTTAGGATGGGCTGATCCTCTGTGGCAAAAGTCCTATCAGATATCTAATTAATTCATTCTTTCAGCATTAGTTCTCAATCGGAATAAACCAACGAGCCAAACACCGGATAGGTGAAAAAAGAAGCTATGGGCTATTATTATAACGTAGAAAAGATCTTAAAAACATATAACTACTGTAAACAAGCAGCATTAAACCATTAATTATTTATATTTGTTTAAATTTGTCAGTCTAATCACAAAAGTTCCTATTAAATATTAAAATATTACTATAATTAACATTAATTATTTATATTTGTTTAAATTTGTCAGTCTAATCACAAAAGTTCCTATTAAATATTAAAATATTACTATAATTAACATTAATTATTTATATTTGTTTAAATTTGTCAGTCTAATCACAAAAGTTCCTATTAAATATTAAAATATTACTATAATTAACATTAATTATTTATATTTGTTTAAATTTGTCAGTCTAATCACAAAAGTTCCTATTAAATATTAAAATATTACTATAATTAACATTAATTATTTATTTAATATGGCATATGCTTCTGAATATCACAAACGTGCTCATAAAGACGACGGCGGTCTATGGAGGTTAATTGCAAGACTAAGTATGACAATTAACAGAGCCTTTCTCCTAAATAAGTATGTGAGGTGCAGGAAACTGAATAGAACCGCGTGTATGTGGAGACGTAGAGTGAAAATAGTGAACGTTTGTACATGAAATACATGCATCATCATACACCTGTAGGGCTAATCTTGTTTCTGTATCTAGCTATACGCTCAGCGAAGCGATTGTCACTGTGGAGCCTGAATGGGGCCTGACACACAAGTTCCGCGGCACCCATTCTCAATTACACTCGACAATATTAATCTCTTCACGAACCTTGAAAAGAGTGGGATGGAGAAAAACAAAAGCCAGAAAATTGTATGAAGCTCAAGTACCGTCAATCACATAGTTTAATGTTCCGGTGGCTTTCGGCGGAAGAGAAAGGCCGAACTTGTTTGACCTCACACTGTTTGCAAGTGATAAATTACGGGAATTTAGAGGTGGAATTCTTGATTATGTTGCACGGGTGGGTGGGTAGGTAGTGAATGATGGACTGGTGGAAATTCTTTCGGAAAATGGCAGAAATTTATTAGGTTGAAAAGAGTCTGCATTTTTGAGTTCATGTACATTTTACTCATTTCCAGCTCGCAGTGTACTCAACTAAGCGGAAGCTTTACCCTCACTGTTTTTTAATGCTGTCTTACAATATATCATGTGGCCAGTCCACGACAGCCAGGAAGGGATGAAAGTGCATGGTCTAAACGAGGTGTTTGTTTATGCTAATAACACTAATTCGATGGGGGAATTAAGTAACACAAATAATAACGCACAAGTACTTAACCTTTACAAGGCAGCACAGATAATGGTTTAGAAGTATATACAAAACTAAACACACAGGAGTGTCACAAGAAACCGGAATCAGCAATAAAATCATATTTGACTATCGATGGTAATAATAAATAATTTTAAAATGTTTAAGCTTTAAAAAACGCGAGACCTATTTCACGTTTTACTGAAGACATCACATGGCATTATCATCTTTGCACTAGGCGATACAGGGCACGTTGAAACACATCTCGGCTTGACGTTCCGGCCGTCATTAGTTATGAATACAAGCACACTCACCGCGCTGCACCGCCAACAGCAACAGGACAGCAGTCAGTCTGTCACACCGCATCACTAACACGTCACTGTGCACACCAGCGCATCTGAGCACCAACTGACGGCCACTGACATGAATCGAGGGCAGCAGATGATGATACGCAAGGAGAATGGTGTGACGTCAGCTGCGTCTGAGCCAATGCTAGCGACGAGCAGTAACTGTACTAAAATGATGACGTTGCGCTTCAGACGTTCTGATTTTTTTTACGTTTTGTACGTACTTTTATAACACTTGTTATTTGTATACATTATAAGAAACTACCTGAATCTGAAATGATCCCGTGTGACACTAATGGGATTCAAGAAAGGTTGATTACAATATCACAACTTCATAGTCTATTATCTGTCATCGAGTGTGTGGCAAAGTCCCCATGTTCTCAAATTACACAGATAAATCAAAATTATTTTCAGGAAGAAGTCAAGAGCAGATTAAATATGAGGAGTATATGCTACCACCTTGAAGACACGAACATGATATATACACCGTGCTTCAGAATAATCTTAACAGTTAACCGTAATTTAATAGAAACCAATTGAAGACTGTTTTGTGCGGGTATTAATAAAAAATAGTTACAAACTTAAATAGACCTTATTCAATATAAGTTTAAAATAACGTTTTAACCAAACATTTACGACTTGGCGGCTCGCGATTTGAAACAAAGGATGAATGTAGACTCAGGTCTTAGCAAGGCTGACAACCTCTGCTCTAAGGCATAATCAGATGAGGACATACAAAAAGTTTATCTGTGGTGTTGTTCGATACTTCTTCGCCATACAGACACTGCGGTTTTAGAGTGAAAATATGAAATGCTCTTAAGAATTTGGCGCATCGTTACCATGATAAATAAGTTACGTGCAAGATTTGAGGTTTTTACAGCAGCAAAAATTTGGATTATATATATTCAGGGTTGGGACACAATGCAGATGATATGCGTGTTGTTACGTGTCTTCACCACGGAGATTGGCGTAATTTAAAACGACAGTTTTTTAGGCAGCTTAACCAACATTCTTGAAAGAATTATCATAATTTTCCAAGGAAAAGAATGTCAGATGTTTATATAACGGCGTGGACCGTTAAGATTGTTCATAGGAAGTGATCCACCTTTGACAAATGAAACCTATTCCTTGTTGAACGTGACCCGTGCTTGCTATTATCTTAAAAGTTGCGGGTCACTGCCACATTGCAATCACAAAACAATTTTAGTCTATTAACTTTGCAGATGTTTCTCAGCTTCGGTAGGCTTACTGTTAGGCCACTAGGATGAATAACGAGTTCCATGTGACTAAGTAATACTGCACCACCGAAAATATATGAACGCAGCTACTTTACTTTAAGCACGCACCAGATATAAAAGAAGCCGTAAGCTCTAATTTCATACCGTGTGACTAATTTGAATCGGGTAACATCTCGGAATTTGGTTATACTGCTTTCAGAACTTGTTTGTGCTGCAGGGTGTAACTCAAAGGACTCCTGATTGAGATGCTGACAGTCACCGAGAGTACACACACACACACAATTATTGAAACCAACTCACAAGAGCACCAAACTTCTAAAGTTGAAAGAAGGGTTTTACAAGATTATTTAATCATCTAAATATCGACATCTGAATATCATCAGGGACATTTTAGTTTTTAGGGATGTCACAGTGAATTTAGTCACACCACAATCAGAAATTCAGTGATCAGATTTCAAAAGCTCAATGTGTAACTTCAATGTCAGTTAAATCTACTGGTGCTGATAATACAGTTAATTAATCTGGGGCTTCATCACTGCAGTTCAATGTGATTCAAGTGTATCATTGCATGGTATGTGAAATTGGCACTACTGTAAATACTGTGTACCAGAGCATCAACAGGAGACCTGGTGTATTACTCTGATGAATCAGGTCACTCCAGCCACCAGTGTCTCTGATTTACTTCACCATTAAACTGATCACTAGCCAATGGCAAGCCTTCTTGATCCACCAGCCCTCACTGCAGAACACACCTGTAATTCTGATTGATCGACCTCGTGCTTACTGACCAGAGCTAGCAATGAGCAAGCTCTACTCGATTGCACTCAAATCCAGTTACGTAACCTACCATCTTGATTCTGGATATGGTTACAAAATGCCCCCGAGAGCAATCACACATCCAAAAAATGACAAAATAATTATACAACAGAAAACCTTCATAACCACTTTTCTGTTCCTGTCTTTTTGAACAGAAATGCTTTCATGTTAATGGGAGTTGATAAATGGAGAGTAAAAATGTCTGGTCTGTGAGAAGAACCAAAAAATGAGTCCTTTTGAATGTTAAGCTTCTTGCAGTGGCATGTAAATTATTAGTTGAATCATGTGCCTGAATTCTATTTATAAGAAATTTACAATCAGACAGAAGTTTACTGTAAATACAAAACTGCTCATCAACATCAGTGATGGGAGACATCGATCAAGACGCGTTGTGTCACAACATATAAAACCACATTACAATGAAGAAGAATTATATTTTATTCAAAGTAAAATATAAAGTATGTTTGCTTACATGAGATATCTGATCAAGAGCAGCATCTTTCATTCAAAGCACAGCAACACCACCAGATATTCTGTTCACACTGTGAAATTTTTCAATGAGAAGTCATCAAGTTGACATACAGCTTCAACAATTTCTTTCTTTGCTAACGAAATCGCTTACTTTTACCAGTCTTCCTTTTCCTGACAGAGTTCACGTTTATCAGACACAAAGAAAACACAGGGATAACCATATTTAACTTTTCCAACTATTTTATTGAATACACCAGTACATATTCACATTAGCAAACTTAAAGGAGCACATTATGTTACATCGAGCATTGGACTGGGAAAGAGGGAAGAGAAACTCATTTATCATATAAATATGTTATAAATACAGTGACATGCCTAAAGGCCTGCACATCTCATCTGCAATTGTCAATGAGTTACATACGACCTTTACATTCGGCATCTCGCTTCACAGTGGTGGTGGTGGTGGTACGACAGAAACTGTCTGCTGTCTTATCCTCAGATCACACAACAGTAATACCCCAACAATAACACAAGAAGCAATTGTTTGCTTCCAGAGCTCGCAAGTGTGCGCACGACGCACACAACATACACACAATCAGCAATGTATTGAAAGAAATGGTGCAAACAGAGCACATAAATAATTATCTTTGGCACTCAAAAATACCATATAAAGCATCAACCAGGGAGGACATGCTGTATCGGGTGACAAAATATAAACGAGAACTGTTTTATCACTGCACTTTCCTATGCTTGTACTTTGGTATTTAAGAACTATTATATACGGTTTCATAGTTGTCCCTTACATCAACACTGAATCCTTCAGTCACTATACAAGACTTTCAATGCTGCAAAGTTGTAACAACAATGAACCAAGCGCCATCACGAAACAATGTCAGACAAAATTAATGAAAGGAGAGCAAAAATATACCAAAGTACATTTGTTTAGAAAAATAGTATCAAGTTCCACTTGATAGTATATTCTCCACTGTTCCTCATGAAGGAAACTTGGGTTTTATCTAGAAAAGTGGCAAATGGGTCTTTGTTGTTAGATTCACATATATTTATAAACAAGAAAGTTCCATACTAACATTTTTAGTTTGCAGGTGGAGACAATTTCCAAAACCTTTCTTATGCACCGTATGGAATGCATAAAAATATGGTGTTTAGCAATTTAGAATATTGTTATATACCTTCTTTCCATGTACAACTTGGCAAAGAACTTTGAAGCAAACGTCACCAGAGCAGTGCCCAATTAACGAAATTTGCATTTATTCACCGACAAAGAAACGTGCTTCACTTCAGAAGGGTAAGCCAACATGTGCAAATTGGAGGGATTCTAAACTGCTTCAATACGTGTCACATTTCAATAAGATGATGATGTCTCTTCAAGATGCCCACAGAAATCATGACTCATAAGATCAAAACAATTTCTTGTGAAATATCAGGCCAGGTTAAGTCACATGCATACGATGGCACATACAAACACTTATAATTTGTCGTGTCTGTGTTATAAGAAAAGAAAACACCGCACTGCACAAAAGCACATGTATACATGCTGTGTCTCAAATTCTAAAGGATGGATGACTACAATGAAAGAAGTGACAATCTAGTGGAATTACACCCACTTGACAAATATTTACTGATTAACCCTCTGGAGCCCAATGGCAACTACATGACCCATCTGCCTCAATTATCGGTAACTCTTTGCTTTGTATTTATGGGTTTTATATAATTTACAACATAAACAGGGATTATATCAACAGCAGTAACAAACTGATCTTCATAAGGGTGAAGGGATGTGCTTTCTTTGTGGAACAGACTGAATTCTTAAATGAGTTATTATTATTCTTTTATAGTAAAAGTAATATATATGTATATAATTAATTTTTACAACATACAATGAGACACTGTCGGAAGTCTCATTCCTACATGATCAGTAACCCTATCTTATTTGATCAGAGATGGCTCTTATGTCGGGTAGGAATGATGAAGTCCATTCCTACCAGAAATTTATCTTGTTAAAATGCATTACTTTTGATTCTATATTAACTGTGACATGTAACAAGTTTTCAGAGATTAATAATGTTTAATAATGCTTATACACTGTTCATACATGTGGTTAACATATCTGAGTTTTATTCCATCCCTTTTGTATCAAGTGGGTATGGCACATACGCCATCTGTTCAAGAGGTTTGGATAAGCCATCCCCATAAGAATCGGACACGCGTGAATTTTATTTTACTTTAGCATGAATCTGAGGAACCTAATCCCCATGTTGGAGAAGTGTTTCAAACATCAAAGTAAAACACGCATATATCTGAAGATGATGACAAAGCCAGAAATTCTGCATCTGAATAGTGAGGGTGCCTGCTACAACTCCATGTGATAAGGCATGAAAAATAAATACATAAATTATATTACATTACAACACATCATACTAGGAGGCAAAAGAGACTTTTCTCCTAGCCTCTGCATCTAGACTGGCTCTGGGACCTATTCAGCCTATCCAATGGGAATGAGGGGCAATTTTCCTGGGCGTCAAGCAGCTGAAGCATGAAACTGTCCACTCACCTCCATCTAGCGCTGAGACCAAGGAGGAGTAGAGCTTTATCTCCACTAATCCACAGATCTTCACGGCACAGAGCTTAATAAGTTCCAGGATCAATTTATATTTACCTTCACAGCATAGATAAAAATATGATATATAATGAGAAGAAATCCCACCTCAGCTTCAGACAAAAAGAAGCTATGAATCTGAACAGAACCTACAGTGATATTATTCCGTCAACTGTTATACAATGTGTGAAAAACAAATTACCAACAGCCTTCACTTCTTACAGAAGCCAACAGTTTCAAGGTAATAATGACTTATTTGAGCTATAAAATTAGGTTCTTTACAGTGCAACATATATCTGCTGCTTCAGATGCAAGTCAAATGAAGCGGGAGACAAATTAAAATACACAAAAAGTCTCTCAAAATAAAGTACCAATTTCTGGACTGAGAGTTCACATGTTCTGAAAGTTTCTCTTCATATAACTGTTTAAACATTTAAAGCAGACTACATTTTAATTAATATACCGAGTTCATGCCAACTGCGAAAAAGCAGGTAAAAAAATGCAGTATACTAAAGAATAATTTGCATACACAAATGACCAAAAAAAAAAAGTTGCACCAGATTGTCAGACACATGTCAAGTTGTTCATGGAAAGCGAAGCAGATAGGGCGAAAGCTGAAATAAATAAGACATTAATAAAAATTTAAGTTGAAATATGTTTCAAGGTACTGTACATGATTTCTAAGCCACAGTATGTCATCTCTTGATCTCTACTACAAAACAGTAACATGACACATTACATTATCATAATTATTGCATTGATATACTATTCTAATACTTAGCATTTGATGTGTAACAAGATTGTATTTCCAGTGCCAGAAATTTACGCAGACATCCGGTAACTTTACGATCTACAGATATGAAATAAATGTGCCATTTAGGGTGATACCTGTTACCAAAATGAAGTTTCATGGTTTTTCTGTTTTTCAGACTTCACTAAAAGAAAATGTGTTGACATGATTTGATCACATTGTCAAGTGGTCAGAAAAATGGAAGGCACTTTACTACTTTTTGAACACATTTAAGCCAAGAATACTAACAACAATGGACATTCATTTCTACTTACATTTTTGCGTGAACTTTGCAGTACAACCTATTCATGAAAACATTCACAATAGGCACAAGTTGATGAATGCTATGTAAGTTGCTTGCGTCCACTAAGTATACAAATTTCTTATGCAAAAAATTGATTTATCAAGAATAGGATTGTCTACAAATTCACGGTACCACTTTTTAAATAGCTATTTTATTTTCCACTGATTTAATAAGCAAAACGAATTTCAAGGCCACTTCATTATAATTTACTTTTTATCACTTCTTTTGTTTGTGTGTCAACAATGTCTTCAATTCAATCTTGGCATACCCCAATGGCAGGCAGGAAGGCATTTTCAAATAATCCTACTAATTTTACTAGTAATATAAATTTTGTACATTAGTCCTAAACAAACAAATCACAAAAATAAGTATTGATATATTTTGTGATTCACTTCAAGCTAGTTTTGACTAGACTATACTGGCATTTACAGAAGGGTAGAAACAATACTATGTGAGATGCGTATGGTAAATGGAGACGACACAGCACATTAATACTTGCTACTGGACACCCACACTTTTGACTGGCCAACAGCAAGGCCTGCCACTACTAACAAACATGGAAAACGCACCACACATATCTTTTCTCACACATTCTCACTATTCCACAAAATATAAATATGTTGATAATATATATGTATATATTCTCTAAGTTTTGCAACTACTACTAAGACCTTACATTCCCTCACTTAGTGAGAATACTACTCAACACTCTTGAAAAGAGAAATAACCAACAGCAAGCACACTTCTTATTACATTTCCCTGTACTGTGTGCAAATATCAATATCTCTTGTATTGTTTTGTTTCAATTTCAAATGTCTGAAAATCTATTAAAATAATCCAAGATTGTTCAAATAATGTAACATATAAATTATATAAATCTCTAGCAATGTACAAAGTATCCAACATGATACCTGTAAAACTCGAAGGCGAGATTTAACTTTCAGCTAATGCCTCATACTACAGAGATATGAAAATAAGAAAACACTGATTGCATTTATTTTCCTAACAGTTGGTTTGTCCTAAAACAATGGAAATTCTGCACAATCAAGGATAATCAACCTGTCCTCAAGCTTACTGTGTTAACAAGGCTCACTATTGCCGACAAAGATAAAAAGCATTTCTTGTCAAAATTAAGTATTACTGCCTTACTTTCTGGACAGCAAAGTCAAGTTCTAAAAGGGGTGAATAAACTGATAGAACATGCTAAGGATCAGCATAAATCTGATACACTTAACACAGCATCAGGGTTCTAAATGCACGTCACAGATACTAAGACGTTAACCTTGCATACTATAATCAGTTACACGTTTTTTTGAAATTAATGGCACTAGAATTTATATATTGAACTCAGTTTTTTAGGAAGTCTTACTCTTCTATATATATATATATTTTTGGAAGTTTATGTTTTTATATCTCTATAATTCTGCTAGCATAAACAAGTCTTTTTTTGGACCTTGCCAAATCAGGCTACAAAATGGGTCATTTTCTTGATATTTTTTTTTGAACATCAGTATAATTCTAAAACTACTCTACATGATATATCACAATACAAATCAATACTTGCATGCTCTACTCATGCGGACTGCCAGTGATGGGCTCCACTTTCACGGTGATGGTTTCCTTGGGCTCTTTAACAAGACTGTCTGGAGAACTCAACTGTGGACTCTTAACAATGTCTTCAATGTCTTCCTGGAAGAGATTTTCAGGCCGAGGAGAGGTGAAGGTGGCTGTAGGCTTGTATGTCATGCCACTCACACCAATTCCCACTTCCACACTGCTCAATGCACCACTTGGAGTTGTTGGGGTAGGTGTAGCTCCACTGCTGCCACCTCCAAGTGGCGATGGGATGGGACTGGCAGCCACTGATTCTGCTGGACTGCCTGCCCTCAATTCTGAGCCCACAGGACTTGCAACATGAAGGCTGGAGCCCAATGGACTGGTCAATCCAAGACTAGGCATGCCACCATGTGTGGTACCATTGCTGGGGAGCCCCAAGCTGTTGCAGTGTCCTACCAGTCCACCCAGGCTGTTCACTAGTCCTACACCAGCATCACCAGATAGAGATGCATTGTGCTGTGCAGCAGCCACCATACTGCACATCTGCTGTCTCAGTCCCTGAGCTACCACAGCCACTGCTGCTGCAGCTGCTGCGCCTGGTGACACTGTTGGCTCTGGCCCATTACTGCACGACCCACCGGGGTAGTTCTGTACTCCCAGAGGTTCCTGACAACAAAGAGTTTCCTTAAAATTCAATGACGCATTCTGTACTTTTCAATACAATGGTATTTGCACTAAAGGGCTATAGGTTCTTAGTGATGCAGATCAACACAAACATACAGATAGGAAAGAAGAATCAGGGCCGTACCGAAGGTAATGAATACAGTAAAATTGGGAATAAGAGGGCGGAAATATTGTCACTAAAGTTATAGAACCATTAGCGGCATCTTTCCACTCTATCATCAACGCAAAATTTGCACATGCGCGCACCCCATATTTTCCCAGGATGCATTGCGAGAAAATGGCTGACTTTGGCATGTTCTTTCGTGAATGTGGTGTCATTAAACTTCTTGGGACAGAGGGG